TTAGTTTCATCGTTTTTGTTTCCATTGAATCGGTAACGAGGACAATATAGACAACGTTGATACTATATATTATATTAGTTGTGATAATGATTACACTGTTAATATGATTAGACCTAAAAGGCTTCCTACTGTCAAACAACAGTAATGGTAATGATAGGGACAATGAAAACTGCATATATGAGGTTTGCCGGCGAAAGAGTTATCATCAAATGGACAATGATAGTAATTCTGTTGATGCTAAGGAGGAAAAACATTATTAAGAACTATGATAAGACAATCATAAAGATAAAGATGATAATGATGAGGATGAGGGGGAAAGAGTTTGAAAATTACCTTAAATATGAAATTGATGATCGGGATGTTGATTATGATGATGATGATGATGATGATGATGATGTTGATGATGATGAGGATGATGATGGTAATGATGATGATGTTTTTACGATGATAATGGAGATTATAAAGATGCTAATTGCAATATTTGTAATGGTAATGATTATGATGATAATGATTATGATGTCAATAATCATAATTATAATATAAATCATAATTATAATATGAATGACGTTGATTATGATTATGATAATGGTGATTATTCAGATGAATTAAATCGCTCTAAAACCCTTGTTAAAATACGCAATAGCGGTGAAAACGATTCAACGACAGACGAATAGTATGGGAAGTTGTCGAATGGGTATAAATAATAGTTGTAGTAATAGAGAAAAGTAGATTTGCAGTAATGGTTCTATGAAAACATACATAACGTGCGCTCTTAACTTTATACGAAAATGGATATGTCGAAGTATGTTTCAACCTCTAGTTACCCTAATATGATAGATAGGCCTCAAACGATGTGACGCGATGTGTATAGAAAATAGTGTCACGGATATATACGGTAGCTTTTTCTTAATCACATTGTTATTAATAACTGAAAAAATGAAGCTCAGTGAAATATGAGATGGTGGCTTTTAAAAGAACACGTGTGGTTTAAAAATATCTATAGTTTTTTCTAACTCCCTTATTCATAGGATATACAATATTTGGATATGTAAATAAACAGTTTAATAAAACGCTCACTTCATTTGAGAATTCCACATTGACAATACAATTAACAAGAAACATGTAGTAATTGTAATTTAAATTTATCTATTTATTTATATAGTACTATGTTCAAAGAGGGTGATTAGCGCTAAATGCCTCTATAATCGGACATAATTATGCTGTTTCTGGTTTTGGGAGTGAAACGTTTAAATTGTATTTGATGATTGTTGACAGAATGCCCATAACAGCTTAACAGAAGGATTTTGCCTGGAGGTTAGGTCTGCACGTATACTGTACCCTATACGGTAGGTCTTTGTGGCCTAATGGGTATGACAGTGAGAGTTTGCATGTTTGAATCCCGCCAGACATCTTTCTCATACAACTGAAATTAATAAACTTTTCCGTTGATGAGCTACTGAGCTATGCTTAATATGGTTATTACAACATGTTACTATTCGAGCACTGTTATTATTATTTATCTATTTG